GCGGGCGGTGCTTGCTGAGCCCCCGTGATGTTTTCTGCTGTGATGACTCATGGTGTTCTCTCTTGCCTTTAGATACCAGCCTGTTGATATCATTCAACCAACCAATCATGTATTGCCAGCCTCATTCGGGGATTCTGATTGGTACTTTGTCACAGGCATCTCTCTTACCTCCACCAATGAGTCCTCACGTAGAAAACCACCACAGCATGACCTGCAGAAACAGGGAATGCCAGGTGAATATTGACTCTTTCTCCTCCGTCTTTGTGGTACTCACGGGCCCACGGGCCTCTGTGTCTTTTTTTTTTCTCTCTCTCTCTCCTCTAGATCACGAACTGCTCAGGCAAGAGCTGAACAACCGGTTTTTGGTTCAGAGTTCGGACCGGGCCGCTGCCTCACTTGGCCCGGTGCCGCTGCTGAGAGCGGAGTTTCACCAGCACCAACACACGCATCAGCACCAACACACCCACCAGCACACATTCACTCCTTTTCCATCCAGCTTGCCCCAGACGCCGCTCATGCCGCCCTCTGCACCTCCCATGGTGCGTACCCCAGCCCAAAATGTGAGGATAAGTAGAGCATCTCTGGTCAAAAAGCCTAACCCACTCCTGTCAGACAAAACCCACTCCTCTGCATTTCAGCCAGGCATGCTGTCCCTGCCCTTCCGACATGGAGGCCTGGACAGACAGGCCCGGCATTCCCGAAGGGACCCCCTTTCCATCCAGACCCTCCACATCGAGTCTCTGGGTCCTCTACGCTGCTACCCATGAGCAGTTAGCACACCCATGAGACGAGTCAGAGTCCCTTTAGTTTCCCTTTTCATGTGTCCTGCTGTGTATTTCTATTCTCCCTTTCCTAGAGCCAGGTGCCATGACACACCAAAACAGCACAAGATCAATAGCCTCTGGGGTACCAAACGCAGCCCCTACAACTGTTCATTGTGGGGCAGACAATACTTTGCTTACCCAGAGCTCTCACCATAGGGCAGCATCTCATCTGATAAAAGTTTTGTCCCTCTCTCTCCTAATTCCCTAATCTGTATCGATTTTGGCATTTATTATTTGATTACATCAACAAGCACTGTTTTGTGTGGGCTGGTTCTTCTTGCAGGAGAGATCCTCCTGGCCATGTTGTAAGCATTAGTGTTTTACCACTGAATTTGCTTGTAACACAGTGGGACTTTGCTGCAGCTGTTACAGCATTGTTAGAGGTCTGCCACAAATGGATTTTGTCAGTGCTTTAAAATGCTCTCTCCCCATTTCTGGCAATTACTCTGTAAAATTGAAAGAACAAGATTTAGCTTTTCCCCCCCCCTCTCAGTTTCACACTGTGTCCAAAATGTAGAAACAACCCTCTTCTGCTAAGGCTAGTAAAAGCCAAGAGTAACAACAAAAGCAGCATTTGGGAGGAACTACCAAGGATTCAAGGAGCACAGTTTCCCACTTTTCTTTCCCACTGCTGACTGCCCGATGGCATTTTTGGGTTGTAATCTGCTTAGCAGCAAGACAATTAGAAGTAATATCATCCACCCAAAATCCAGCCCCAGGTGTTTGCTCAATGTACTCGTGTGTAAACACCTTCCCTCCTCTTCTTGGTCTGTGTAAAACACTCTTGAATCTTTCCTCAGAAACCTCTTGTGTTACTCAAGAATCATGATACCCGATCCTGTGAACAGCTCCCTCCCCTCCCACCCCTGCCCTGTTGATGTCAGCCTTCATACCAAAAACAACTCGCAACACTCCTTTGTTATATTTCACTCACATCTTCTTATATTCCGCTAGATCAGGTCTGCTAATCCCAACACCAGAGAAGAGTGTTGAAATTTACAGCTGCATGTGTTTGGTAATTTATGGTATTTACACTGGAGGGGACATGGCTCCAGTAATAACTGTAATTAATGAAATTACAAATCTACTCTCCTGCACATAGAGGAGTGTGAAACAGCAGCTGACTTGCCAAATAAGCAGCTTTTCATGGGGTCCTACAGCTCCCTTCCCTGCCTTTTCCCCACTCCTTCCTCCCCAGCAGAATGTACATACTGTTCAAAAATGCAATGTATATATGCTTTGGTTTTGTTTCCAAGGTGGTACAGGACAAATGGTCATAAAAATAAATACGGGGCACAGACTGCACACATGGAGGTGTTAAAACCCCATGCTGGAATGGAAAAGGATAACGATCACCTTTTCTCTGGGGCGCTCTCTCTTCTGCAGGGGTGGGGGATTATAGAGAGACTTGTGCATCCAAAGCAGTTAAGCCCTTTTCCAAACAATTTTGGCACTTACAGGAACCCAGGAAATGGGGAATTGGTATTGGTTGCCCCACAATAGAAGTTGGGGTCTAATGGAAAATGTTCCCTACCTTCTAGTGTGTGATCTAGTTCAGTGTTCCAGGGGCAAATCCCAGATCTGGACCTGGAGCTGAACTTCCCTGTGTTTCACTGCACTGCAGCTATCAGGACTGCTCTCTTCATAGTGAAGGATCCTCTTCATGTAGAGCCTGCAAACAGGGTTCTGCAGAGATGCTCGGCAGCACCCAGCACAACCCAGGGGCTAGCACCTTTCCGTCTCATTAGCTTTGGGAAGTCAGTCAGCTCCCTGATGAGCGAGAATGGAATAACCAGTCAGTTCTGCTCTGCTCAATGCTGTACAGACGAGCCGTGCTTATTTGTCTGTGTTGAAATCCTGATGTGTCCGCTGCTGCCGAAACCAAACTCACGTGTTTCCTTTTTTTCTCTTTTCTTTCCAGTTTGACAAGTACGCTCCCAAATTAGACAACCCTTACTTTCGACATTCCAACGTGAGTGCTTACCTTTCTAGGTGGTGTCTTTGTTAATGGTTCTGCTTGCACTTCTCTTGCTTGTTTTCGATTGATCGGTAGTGGTTTGATTCATTTGTTCCTAAAGCTCTTTTTCTGTCTTGATTTATTTAATTTTTTTTAAGGTACGAAATTTTCTTTGGGCTTTTGGTTTTTAATCTTTGCCTACTGCATTTTTGCTGCTGCAGCTCTATATTGCTGTGCCTGGGATGGCAGGGAATGCGCACAAATGGCTAAATCAGTGGTCATTGCAGTATCTTTGCAGCTGGTGCTTCTCACAGTGCAGCAGCCTGGAGTGCATGGCTCTCTCACAAGATTTTGCTCAGGTCACAGGAGTAAGTCAAACTGGTGGTTTCTTCCTGGTGCTCCCCACTGCTCCAAAGCACAAAAACTACATATTCTGGGACTTGTAAAACTGCTGTATGTGCTCAGGAGAGGCCTAAGCAAAACTTAACCCAGTCTTCACAACTACAAGGTGGCGTGCATGTTGCCTGTGGTTAGTGTGCAATGCAGCATCTTGTGGTTCTTTTTTGCTTTGACAATTAAAGCAGGGCACATTTCAAAACGGGGTCAATTTGTTTGCTCCTGCAGAAAAATGCAAAGTTAACAAAAAGTGAACATAAAACCCAGATTTATTCCGATTCCTCTTAAAAATGGTGAATGAATGCTCTGTGCTTCCTGCCATAGTCCACCGATTCGAAAGGCAACACTTGTTCAACACTGTCTAGAAAATTCATCAGTTGAGCGCATTTTCCAAGTTTTGGCTTTGCTCTTAGAAATTTTGAAAGCAAATTCAGTGTGTATTTTCACTGTGGCACTCGTTCAACACAGTACTATTTTTGTATGTGCCAGGATTGGCACCTACCTCCATTATTGTTCAAGTTGTCCTGTGACATAAGCATCTCTTTTTCTTTTGTAGTTCTTTCCAACCTATCCTCCAGCAATGCCTGGAATGCCACCCATGCTTCCACATTCAGGTCCCTTTGGGTCACTTCAGGGAGCATTTCAACCGAAGGTACAAACTTCTTCTTCTGAAGGCTTTGTTCTTTTACTGTGTTCAGAGTCGTGTCTCTGGTGATTTTGTAGCACATGATTTAACGAGCAGAAGCGCAGCACAGGGTTGGAAGTGATCACCCTGCAGATCTGTGAGCATCCTCTGCACAAAGCAGCCAACACTTTAGGCATTTTCTCTTGGCACTACAGATCATTCCTTGGAAAAGGATATAGTGGTTCACTTGGGAGGTCAGCTGAAACAGGAAGAGAAGCATACAGTCAAATGCATTATTTGACTGAAATATTTACAGCTTATAATAGACCAAAGAGTCCCAAATCATTTTATACATTTAATGGTCTGGGATTGCAAAAGATAAACTGTGTTTATTCCCAGAAAAAAAAAAAAACAAAAGAGAAATTGACTGTATAAGTGTGGGAACAATAGGGAGAGACTGCTGTAAATGGGTAGAGCAATTTGAAGGAGCTGAATCTTTATTCCCAGCTCCAACACTGTCTGACCTAGGGCAAGTCGCTTAAATCTTCTGTTCCTCAGCTTCCTCATCTATAAAGTTGATCTTGCAGTGGGTTTTATAAGGTTTGATTAATGCCTGCAAGCTTCTTTGAGATAGCGTGTTTGAAAGGTGCACTGCAACTGTAACATATCATTACAACTAGCACTGATTGGCATTTGGAAATGTTGCCATGATAACCACCATTTTTGACGAATTCTGTGGTGTGCACTGCTTTTTTTTTCCCCTCCCCAACATGTTCTTTTTATTAACTATTTTTAAATGTACAGAAACTGTTACATCTTTCCAAACAACAAATACGCGCTGTATCTATGTAATACTTGTTTGAAAATCGAGCATTTACTCCATTTGTAAGGTGACATGTGTTTAGTTTCTCTACATACTGTGATTTCAGAGATGTCTTATCTTGAAATGCATTTCCACAGAGCTTTGCTGCTGTGTCAGAAGCCTGGAAGGAGCAGCACTGTAGCCAGGCTGCTTCTGTTTGCGTTTGGAAGGTGATTTCTGTAATCCCACCAAGCAGGGCTGTGGGGTGTGCTTCCCTCCGCAGTCTCACTGACATCAGTGGAAGTCAGAAACTAGCAACTGCAGCAAATAAGGCCTCTAGCAACCTTCCCACTTAGTATTTTTAATGGAAGCTGGAGTATTTCCTTAGTGCCTATCCAATCCCTTACATTATTTTCTGGATACATTACAAATAGCAAAGTCTCTAAAATGGCTCTTTGCAACACGAGTTCTGTATGTAGTAGCTACAGGCATAGGAAAGGAGCAGTTGCATCAAATCAAAGGGAGCAGGAGAGACAGAACATAGCTATCCCTTGACGGAGCTGGCTGCCAGTGTTAATTGTTACTACTCTTGCAAGGTGTGCTCGGGAGTCCCTACAGACCCTGAGGTGTCAGGGTGTGAACTTGTCTTTCCAAGCAAAGGAGCTGCACAAATAAGGTGGAATTGGCCAAATTTTGTTGATGTGAAGATACGGTTCTATTTTGCCATAAGGCTACTTGCTGTTAATGAGGAGCTTCTGATACGACGACAGCATGCTCTTCTGGTTTCCATCTTCCCGTTACAGAGCTTTATAGATACCATCTCACTGCAAAATACCATTAGACCAAAGAGAAGCAGTTACAAGAGCAAGAAAGAAAGAGACCCGTTACATTTTTAAACAGTTCTTAGTACTGAATTATAACCAGCTTTTAATTTTTTTTAATGATAGCTACATAGAACATGTGCTAGCTTGAGTTTAAGCAGCACAAGGTCATGCTCTGGTGCCATGGTTAATCACTACCATCACTTGATGTCTGGACAGTGCTGTATTTACATGCAATCTAATACCTGAATAAAAGAGGGATGGGTTGAGAAATGGATCTGCCACTTTGGCACATTATTTTCCAGTTTCCTAGAGGAAACAGAGCTGAACAGCTAGGCAAAGCCACTCTAGTCATCATTACTGCTTCATTTTTCCATGCTCTCTCCCTCCCAAGCTGTTTGACTAAAGCATTCGTAATCGCTGCAGACCTGATGATGTGGTTTTGGCACACAGAGTACTGCACTTCTTGCTTTTCAAAGCAGAGGTCTCGGTTTTGTTTTTCCCCTTCCCATGTCAGTTGCCTACAGCTGTGCGTGTAAGTCCACTGCACATAAATCCAGGCTGACGGTAAACTTCTCAGTGAGTGTCCCAACGGCTGTTTCTCACAAGCTAAGAACTTGAAAAGGTCAGAAGTATTCAGTTTACTTTGCTGGAGGAAGCATTCACGTCTTTCTCCAGGGAACAAGGGGACAGGATGACACCATGCTATTAACATGTTGTGATCTTAAAGGTCTTGCCTGTATGATAGCTGTAACTTATTTGCCACCTTATATATACCTCAGCTGTCAGACAGCCCCTGAGAGCACACATCTGCCTGGGGAGTTCATTGACTTACCTACACAAAAGAATTCTCTTTTTAATGAGTCTGGAAGTTACATAGCTTTAGAGAAATTAAAGCCTATCTTTCTTCCCACACCCATGATTATATTCATGGCTTGTACAGTTTGACTGTTTGAAATCTGCTGTAATTTGACCTAAAATGTGAGTGAAATAATCTCTTGGGGAATAAGGTTTAACCCCTCTGCACTCAGCTGTGTGGAGGCACCAGGTGCAGTTGCTGTGGGAGTGGGAGATGGAGGAATGCCAGGGTGAGAAGACGAACGAGTTCTTAGGGATTGTCTAGGGCAGGGCAGCAGGTGGGATCCAGAGGAACAGGGATTCATTCAATGAAGTGTTTAATTCTTGCTGGAAAATGACGGGATAAACAATGCAAAGCTATAAAAGACCCACAAGCACCTTCTAAGGTTTCTCATTTTGCCTTGTCAAAGCAAATAGATGGGCTGTTGCCATTTTAGCCATTGTGTTATCTGGCCCCAGTCAGAGCGGGGCTGCGGTCCAGTAAGTGGAATACGGGACTAGGATGCTTGAGTTGTTCCATTCCTGACTGCTATCCTAGTTGCTGCCTGAAACACGGAGGAGTCAGTCCACCTCTCATTCTCTCTCCTACTGCCTGCCTGTTTTGTCTAAAGAGCAAGCTTGCGGGGCAGGGACTGTCCCTTCCCATCTACTTGCATACTGCATAGCACAACGGGGTTGTGATTTCAGTGGGGCTTAGAGGTGCTGCTGTAATACTCTTACTGCTGCTAAAGAATAATAGATGACACGGTGGTTAAATGCTGTTGGCTGTCAGTAAGAGATAACATTTAGCACTAATGTAGCAATATGCGTGTTCAAAGCACAGTACAAACATGTACTAATTAATGCCATTAACATCAGATAGAGATGTTAAATGTACCACTGGTGTGATACAGTATTATTCACGCTCTATTCTTGTCTTTCAGACTTCAAACCCTATTGATGTAGCAGGTAGACCAGGCACAGTCCACCATACCCTGCTGCAGAAGACTCCAGGGGTAGGCAACAATATATAACCTTCCTTTCAGCTTATCTGGATTTGCAGTAAACACTGTGATTGCTCATAAAAAGAGCAGCTGGTGAGCAAATTTGCCTTCTAGGCTGGGAACAAGCAGTCAGGGCAGAAGTTTCCTTTTCTGGTGAGACAACAGGAGCTTCCACCAGTCGTGAATACAGAGGGATGTATTGACTTGTTCAAAGTCAGAGGGAAATGGGGCAGGAACCCCTTTCAAGGTCTTTCCCCTAAGCATTGCTTGGAGAGTAGTTTTATGTGCTCCATTTCAGATTACAAGGTTCAGAAAAGCACTGACACTGTTCAGTTGCTGGCATGAAACCGCTTTGTTTATCATAAAATTCTGCTGAGTTTGGTGCAAGGAATGAAAGAGAAGTTTTAAGCCTTCTTTAAGCCTTTTAGGTTTCTCGTGTCACAGGGGACTTCTCTGGAACATTGCTTTTTAAATGCTTTTACTGTTTAGAGGAAGGAAGTTTTCCACCTTTTGGTATATTGGCTAGTTTTAGAAAGGCTGATTGTTTTATTTCTGCTTTTTCCCTAGGTGTCAGACCCTTATAGGCCTCCAGTAAGAGTAAGTAAGGTTTGTGGGGGATTTTATATACGTATATATACACACATTTCAAATATCATGCATGTGTTTTTGAAATCTAACGTGTCCAGTGGAAAATTTCATGCTTATCCTTTATTTAAAGCAAAATGTCATCGTAAACTCTTAACTGCTTCTGATTAATAACGTTTAGATTGAATCCCAACCTTGTTTTGCATCCATTTATGTGCATTAATAGTTCACAGTGTGAAATGAGAGTCACAGAAATAAATGACTCTGAGCATGGACAGACATTCACCATTGATCAGATTCATGGTGGCTTAGGTCTGTGTCTTCTGTTTGTGCTCCTCATGTTCAAAAAACACCCAACAGTGAGTAGCACAGCTCAGCTGTAAAACAGTAACTTGTTCAGCTGTGGCACTGCTCATCCCTGGTGATTGTTTGTCTCTACCCTTTTCCTGCTCAAATGCAAGTAGCCATAATAACCACGCATGACTTGGCCTGCAGTGCAGCAGGGATGAATGAACAGCGCTCTTTTCAGAAACATACCTGTCTTTGCTGCCCTTTATTTCCATTTATGAAGGGGGGAGTGCAAGTAGGACAGGCAGGGATCTCGGGTCCCCATGAGATGAGAAAGATATCCCACATTCTTCCTGTTTGTTTCCTGAATTTAAACATCATCTGCTGCAGTACAGAAAGAACTGTTGATCACCTATTGTGCCATTTCAGTAATCAGCCTTTCTCATTGCTTAGCTGCCTGTTTGACAGTAAGGGAAATGAAAGGTTCTATCAGATGTAGATTGCTAACGTATAAATTAATCTAAACTCTTGTGCTTTCCATTGCAGAAGCCCGGGAAGTGGTGTGCGGTTCATGTACAGATCGCCTGGCAGATCTACCATCACCAGCAAAAGATAAAGGTAATTCAGACAGTTTCTGGAACAAAGCCAAGTCTTCTGGCTTACAGATTATATTTTAGTGAGTAATGAGCAGGAAGCAGTTACTGTAGTTGATTCTTAAGCTTGCCTGTATTGATTAACTAACACTTTCAATCCTTTAACATTTTTTGTAGCAACCATAAAGTTTATCTGAGGGCAAAGGAATTGGGTTGAAGGGTAGCAAAATGAGCAAGAGATACTAAGTGCACAGCCAGAAAGAGGTGAAGAACTGGAGGGGAAGGGTAATTTTGCCCCAGATCAATCTTTTTTACAAAGCATGTATGTTTAACGTCATTTCCCTTCTGTACTAGTACCTCCTGGGGAGGAGGTAATGAAATGACCAATATGGTGAAGAGCATATTACAAAACAGGGAGCAGGCGAGTAGATTGATAGTTGCCGTGTTAAAGGGTGTTGGGCTTTCTGCACAGCAGAGATGATGGGCAGAGGGAGGGGGGTTACAACTCAGGAGGTTACAAGATGTAGGTACACTGTGGTGCTGTTAGACTCCAAATTCCCTGTGACAGGCAGAATAGCTGATAATGGGACTTCTGTGATACTTATTTTTTCATAGCTCCTGCTGTAGTTTTTTCATCCCATTAATGAAGATTATCCAGTGCTTAAGTAGTGCACTGTAATTAGTCTCTCTACAAGTGGTGTGTGTCCTTACGCTTTTTAAATAAGCAAATATATCTCCTTAAAGCTGTTTGAGAGACTTACATGACTTGGGTGCAGTTCTGACCATGCTCCCTTCTATGGGGGAAGGATAAATATAGCCTCTGGAGGAGCCTCATAGTTTTCTTTATGCTTTTGCCCCTTGTCTGCGTTCTGAGCTATACTAGCTCCAGGAAGGGCATAGTCTAGGAACATCTCTCTTTCCAAACTGGAGAAGCAAAACAGACAAGTCTGTCACCCCTCTCTCAAGACTTCTGCCAGCAGCTTTCTGCCTGCAGAATGTTTTTTGTCAGGCCGAGAGCACCGACTGATCCTGGGGTGCAGTGCACTCAGTGTATCATCTTGCATGCTCCACTGTGTGTGCTGAGGGGCTGAGAGCTCACTTCAGACCTTATTCATGTGGATGAGGCAGGCAGCTGAGAGGCTGTGGAGTGAAATGGCCTTACAGATGCTGTCAGAGCATGACTGCGGTACGTGACCAGAGACACTGCTGTCACTCTCGCTAACTCTCGCTGGCAGGGCTAAGCAGGAGTGAGACTGAACTCCCTCTCTCTTTCTCCCTTAAAAAAGGAAGTGTATAATGAGATTGTTTTTATATCATTTGACAGCAAATGCAGCTGGATCCCCACAAGCTAGAGATAGGTGGTAAACTTGACCTGTTCAGCAGACCTCCAGCCCCTGGAGTGTTTCCAGGCTTCCATTATCCACAGGATCTTGCCAGGCCTCTGTTTTCTACCACAGGTAAGGAAACATCATCATTTGTAGAAGAAATAGGAAAAAAACAAACAAAAATCAGTCAGTATGTGTGATGTGTGTCTCTACAGCTACGTACACCTCAAAAATTGAAGCAGACAAGATTGGTTCAGAGGGTGTGGAGGCACTGGTGGCTCTTGTGACTGGGGCTCTCAGAGCTGGGTTGGGCTCTTCCACTGCCTCCAGTGCAGGATCCTCTGCACGACACTGAGCTGCAGCAGTTGGCTTTTACATTCGAGTCTGTGCAGCTGGTTCTTATGTGCCTGATTAATAGGCTATGGAGTGATTTTTAAAAGTGATTTTGACAAAACACTTGAAAATGTTTCCATTGCACAGGATTTGGAAGTGGCCTCAGTCTCTTTCTTGCTTTTATATTTGCCATGTTGTTCTTCTCAGCTCCTCCACTCACCAAGCTTCTGTTTGTTTTCTGAAAACAAGGGTTTTCTGTAAAAGGAAAACTTCAATAACAGCATTGAAAATATCACAGAACATGTTTGTGAACTGTTTGGGTTTTAAATATAAATTCCCCATATTATGTGTTACAAAGTCCAGCAGTCTTTAAGGCTTAAAATGGCATATTGGATTTTAAAACCCCAAAGAATTAAATTGATCAATTGCTTTCCAATCTATTGGAGAAGCAATTGCAATTAATGCAATTACCAAAGTGCAGTAGGCTCCACTGCACTGTTCTCAATGGCTCTGACCATGGGAGACTGCAACTCTGATATTCTGGTTCGGAAGTCGCTGTAGATTCATGTCACTGTCCATCTACCAAATGCTGGGTTTGTTGTGTTCCCAGGTTTATCCTTCCCCCTAGATTTTTTCAGGTTTTTGTTCTGTGTTTGAGGTGCTAAAGTCTGCACTCTGAATGAGCTATATCAATTGATGAGATGCAGCTAAGCTCTTTATGTGTATAATTAATCGGCAAATAATGTATTTTCTTTCCTAATGTTAGTCTGTTTTTATGATGCAGTATTGTGCTCTCATTCTAACTCAGTGCAGACATGATCATATTCAGCCTTGATTCAAATCTCTTGAAATGAATGAGGTTAGGAATGGTTTGAATTCTGTCCCCGTCATAACAGAAAAGCAACAGATGAGAATCAGGCTGAAACCTCTGTGAGAACTGAGTTTCAAACACAGATGTCAGACAGCCTTCAGGAACCCCACCAGTGGTTCAGTCTGTGTTTCTGCCCTTACCTGAATGGAAATTCTCCAACATCAGATACATGTTTCTACCACATACAACTAGTGCTCATATTTGCTGTACATTGTAGGATGTTACCCTGTATTTTGGTCTCTCTGAAGTCACTTTGATAGTACAGGACCACGATATTTATTGCGTCTGCTTGGATGCATAAGCACATCTTATTTACAAACCTCTGACAGTTTTTATATGGCACCTCCTTCCTAATCACAGTCCTTAGTCTGTCCTGTGCTGTCATTTCAAGACTCTTGTTTTGTGTATGGTTTTGCTGCTGGAGGCTGTATTGGGCAGAGTTCACCGTAACAGGCAGAAAAGCACTGGTGCAGTTGGTATCTTGAGCTTTTTCTCCTACAGATGCAAGCATGGCTTGGTTTTCCATTCATAAAAGCAAGAGGGGAAATAATACGGAATAGATACATTAAAGAAGGCAAATTAATAGAAAACTTTCACTAGAGATAAACAACCTTAGAGCAACTTTGTCTGTGACTGCATTAATCACAAGAGCCATCACACGGTAAATCTAGGTAAAGAGTGATATCAAAGTGAACAAACACTGCAGCAGTAATATATAGATGAATAAATCTTTTACTCTGCAATATCCGAGGCATTCTTTTCACCTTATCCAACAAGCGTGCAGTTGATGTGAATCATTGGTTCTGCTGCATTGCCTAGTTACTGTGGGAGACATAAGTTATCTTAGGGCCACCTGTCTGCAGGACGGATGCTCGGCTGCCTGGCAGACACTATATTTAATAACTACCTGACAGCCTGCAATGCTGCTCCTGGCTTTCTCCAGAGGATTTTTTATTATCAGCCCGTGTAGTTGAGTTTGTAAGCCGTCTCCTTTGAAGAAATCTCCCATCCATTATACACCTCCTGAAATCTTAAAGGATTAGAAAGATGACAGTCTCCATCCGTCTTGAAGCATTGGAGCAGTCAGAATGTTTATAGATAACTCCAGGTCTCGTTGCCGTGGTCTCTCTCAAGTTTCCTCAACTCATTTTCTGGCTGCTTAGGTTTGTGGTGCCCAAGCTGGTGAGAGACGTGCAGCGTTGTCTCCCTCTCTGGCTTTATAGTCTGCTCATGTTCTGAACACGAGTGCATTTCACAATGACCATCTGTTGTTGGGCTCAGTCACCAAAACCAGGTCAGGGACTGACGTGCACCTCCGTAAAATGCTGTTTGGGCTGTGTTTGGGGTGCAATTTCTCCTGTGCATTTTAGTTTCTTCTTTCCCTTTCCCCCCACTTTTGCTGTGACCTTCCACAGTGTTACCAGCACTGATGACATATGGTAGAAACACACATTTGATGTGGCTTGGAGATGAGGGGCAGGAACTTACCAGAGCAGGTCTGCCACTGGTGGGAATCATCCACACGGGCCGCAGACAAGGCAGAAGTCTTTGTGGTAAAGGTAACAGGAGAGCTGGAGTTCCAGGTGGGAGAAGGATTGTAATCCTATTTTCTATAATGGAAAGTTATCACTTGAGAAAGCAGTGACTGGGGAGGGGAGCTGTTAGCAAAGAGCTCACATTTATGCCCAGTATGCTGATGTTTGCTAGAGTTGACCTGTTACTCCCCAGTAAGGGAAATGAACTTTTCACCAACAAAATATATGGAACAAGAGCACTGAAAATATTTAGAGGTTGGTCTCTTTTGTACATGATGTAACATATCCTTGGGGAAGTGCTGCTTCTGTCATTGTGTGCAATGACTAGTTTCTAACAGAATGAGACAGTTAATGCACAGGTATGGCAGGTCTTGCTTCCTGCAAGGGAGGCAGAAGTGTTTGCATCCAGGCAGCATCTGAAAGTTATGATAGTTGCTATTCTGCATTGTCTGCAGTGGTGGCAGAACTGGCAGGGAGGAGGCACCAAAGGATGTTCACAATCTAAACGGTTGGAGAGGGCTGGTCTTGTCAGTGTAATACTGAAGCCACAGAAACATTGTGTCATTCACATCTGAAACATAAATATTCAAAAGTTGATTTCAGGTGCATCCTGAAAATCAGCTGTACTAATTTTAGGCAGCAAAAGCCAGGCCCATGAGATTGCCCAAACGTATTGTCATTTGCAGGATACATGGGAGTTAATGTTCTTCCAAAAACTACGTATCCCAGTGGCTGGTGGCACCAGGCTTTTCAGTTGCAAGCCTGTTCAGGTTCACATGTGTCTGCCTGCACAGGAAGCAAAGCTCTCATTTTCTGTTCTGAAAGGAGAGCAGAATTTCCTGTGTGAGCCTGGTCCACCCTGGAATACAGGGCAGAGCAGCTTGTTTCAGCCCATTCTTGCCCCTTGCCTCAACCTAATGTAATCCAGCATGCTCGGCAGTGGTGCTGCTTTCCCACGAGGTAGCATGGCTCCATGGCAATGAGTAGTGCCTAGGAAGGGGGGGAGACGCGGGGGGGAGCCTGTGGTTGCAGAGACAGATGTGAGAGCGTCGATGGAGCTCTCATGGGAGAGGCATGATTGATGTTCCCTGCGTGCCTGTCGTTAACTGGTGTTCCATATAGACTCTAATCAGTCACTTCCCAGCACCTTCTGTCTGGGCCCATAACCTGGGCTGACCTTTCTTAATGTAAACACAGGGTAATGACTGAAAATGCCAGACAAAGAGATTCACTTCCTCATGACTACAGGTGAGCAGCAACACATCAGGCAAGGTCTGTTCCTGCCTCCTAGTGCCCACAGACTCCTCTGAAGGACACCCTGAGCGATCCTGCCTGTAGCTCACTCAGCTGGTGTTCAGGGTCTTTCCCGGCCTTTGCTGTGTTCAAGTCTGGCCTGTGCGTTTGCATCTGGTTCCTCGGTGTTATGGCCAGGACCTCTATGTATGCAAGCAGTCACTTGCCACTGAACTAAAAAGGGACCTTGTTCTCACAGGTGCGACACATCCAGCCACCACCCCTTTTGGTCCTTCACCTCACCACAGCAGTTTCCTGCCCACTAACCACTTGGCAGGTAAGTGTAAGTAAACCGTCTTCACCTTTATACCTGTGACACATTTCTGGCTCTCCAGTGTGGTCCTGCCTTGAGGCACTGTAGCACGAGGGGAGGGAGAGGCTTAAAACTGTCTCAGGAACCAGAAGCTAGCCAGGTTCTCACCCATGCCAGCTTCCCAGCACGTTGCCTCTGCTCTCCTGCAAAGGAGAGGGGCAGGATTAGCAGCACTGCAGAGCAGTCAAGTCTGTCACTGCTGGGACACTGCACAGGAGCTGAAATGTGGCCTCTAGAGCCCTTCTGTGCTGCTGGTTGTGCCCAAGGAAATGGGGGAAATGTATGCAGAGGTACCTCAAACAAGCCACAGCTTAAAATGGGCTCCTCCCTTACCATTTCCCACCTATGAGAGTTCTTGGCTGGGTTCTTTATTAAAGTTCAGTGAACAGTTCCTGGCAAATAGCTGTTCTGCACATTTTGCCAGCCTTTCAGTTTCCTAATTGGCAGTAAGTAGAGCCTGATTTTCTCAAATTTCCTCATTTTAGAAGCTCACAAGCAGCTCATTGCCAATTAAAGTTCAAGCTCTGTTGATTAATGTTTTAGTAACACTCATCCAATCAGTACATGTGGCATGCCACATGACCTAGTAGACTTTTCTCTATTGCAGATACCCAGATTTACATCAATTCCTGAAAACTCTGTCAAAATTAACTGTATATCTCCACAGTCACTCAGTTACTTTAAGAGCAATAATGGCTATTTAAAAATAAGTAAATAAGCAAACAGCTGTTTGCTTGAAGATCCAAGCTATCTGTGCTGTTTGCCCTGATATTTTAAATATAAGGATATCCATGAGGACATGGAGAGCAAAACAGCTCCTGTAACATGGCACGTTAAAGGCTTTAAAGGGACAGGCAAAAAGCCAGTGGGCAGAAGGAGTTATTTAGAGATGACCAGTAGGAAAGAAAACAAGTGCACTGGTATGATTTAACCCATAGCCATCTGTGGAAGGCAGAAACCCAAGTCTGGCTGTGTCCACTCAGAGAGGAACCTTTAACTAAAAAAAAGCAGACTTTTTATAAAGGCAAGTGCCAGTAACCAGATAGATGCTTGATGAGGAAAGGCAAGATTCATCTTCTGCCTCAAAGGGTATCCTCTCATCCCTTTGTCGTAGTAGCTCCTAAGAGTACACTATCATTTCCACCACCACTGGAATCAAGGAAGCCATTATGGGAGAGGACTTTGGCACAAACAGACCAGAGCTGGTGTAAGGATGGATGTAGCAATGTACATATCTGTAGCACATAGCTTAAGACTGTCTCTATGCACTACTACAAAGAGGGTAGAAAGCTGTATACAGGAACCAGTGAAATGATGCATCCCCTCAATACGCTGACCGAGGAGCCTGCTGAGGTTCTTTCAAGGCAATTGCAATGCTTCTACTATTAGTACTGATAAGGAAGGAGAACTATAGCTCAGCAGCAGCCACCCTAATTTCAGCTATTAGACCTTAATTTCTAGCTCCCCTCTGACTGACATACAAAAGTTTATTACAGCACCTGTTTGCAGAGTGAGCACTGAATCCCTTCTACATTTTAACATGATGGGAATTTTCTGTGCAAAGAACCTTGCAATGAGAAGGATCAGCTTAAAGTCTGGCCTAATCCTACTTGGATTCAGACCATTAAGAAGGGGAGGGGTGCATTTCATTCTCCAGCATTCTTGGCTAAATGCCTGCTAAATCCCTGTTTGCCTTTCCAGATCCATTTAGCAGGTCAAGCACCTTCAGCGGCCTTGGGAACTTAGGCAGCAATGCCTTTGGAGGATTAGGCAGTCATGCTCTGAGTAAGTACTGGCTGGGTTACTGCAGACAAACATCCCTTCCAGAAAAGCCACATGCTAATATTTACAGCAGCTGGTGGTAGTTTTTAAAGAAGTTTAATTCCTAACCTCCATTCTCCTATCTGAAAACACTGCACCTAAGATTTCCAGGTCTCTGCGGTGGGAGCTTTTCTGCATGTCACAAACATCACTAGCTGTGCTCTGTGTCTCCTCACTGCTGAAGGTTGGTACCTTGTGTGCTCCTAGAGGTGCTAGAGCTGCAAGACGCCACTGAGCTCTGGGGCCCTATGGGCATCTAAAGTAACATCCTTCAACAGTGAAGATGCATACTGGAACAGCTGTTGATACTTCTCCTGATGCAGCGTGTAGACTTCCTCTGTGACCATTGTCTAAAGTGTAAATTACCTGTACAAAATTATTTTACTTCAAAAACATGTTACCTGTAGGCAAGACATGCTTGAGAGCCACACATAAGAGAGCATGCTTTTGCATCTCACGGTGCAACAGAAATCAGCTTAAGATTGATGGAGGAAAATCAAGTGACTGTTCTGAAAAGCCTACAGCCAAGCTCTATTTTTTATACACACACATACATACCACCAAATAGTCTTGCTTCTTTAACCAAAAAGTCCCTGAATCCTTCAGCTGCAGACAGCTGATTGCTTGTAACTACCCACAAGTTAAAAGTTTCTGCCAGTGAGAGGAGCTGAGGGACAATACTGAGTTTGTGCTGGAACCCTTGCTGGGGTGGGGGGAGAAGAGGAGCTGGGCATTTTCAGTCATCTCTGACTTACTCAAATGTGTAGTTAAAGCTTCCTCCACCCAAAGCCTTAAAAGTGCTGGTGGATCTTACACCCAGTGTTGGAGGTATCTGTGTCCACCTGCTAGTAGCTCCCCCTCACCATTAGTTCCACATTAAAAAGTCTTGAAAGGACAGTTCTGGTTGTGATTAGCATTGTGAGAAATGTTTATGTAATTACTTGGTTGGAATTATTTTAACTCCTCCTCCCCCTGCTGTTGTTCTAGCTCACAACAACATTTTTACTCACAAAGATGGCCCAAACCTGCAGAATTTCAATAATCCCCATGAGCCATGGAATAGACTCCATCGGACCCCACCGTCCTTCCCCACACCTCCACAGTGGCCCAAGCCCACCGATTCTGAGCGAAGCTCCTCAGTGACAAACCATGACAGAGACAGAGAACGGGAGCGAGAGCCCGAGAAGAGGGATCTTTCTCTGAGCAAAGACGACAGAGACAAAGAGAGGTAAGCAGCTTTGAGCACTTCCCTCTGGGCCTGTTTTTCCTCTATATTTTTCCCAATTTTTCCAATCATAAAATGATCTTCAGAGCAAAACATTGCTGGTCTTTGAAGCAGCTCATAGGCCTCTTCTTCAGATAAGTACAAGTAGTAGCAACACAAAAAAAAAACCCTCTTTGTCTTTTAGGATTCGTCCTCTTTGGAAATGTGATAAATCAGTCTCCAATAGTAGGTTAATAAAAAGCACCAGGCTGAGGAAATGAGCCTGTCACTGTGTTTTCAAGGTACACTTGGCTGTTTTCAGTGCAGCTGCTTTAGGATCACTGTATGTTCTGAAATCATGAAGGTAGCATTGTGATGGATCCTTTGAAGACAATCATAGTTCTCATTAATGTACAAATATGCTGATGAATTCAAATGTTAGCTGGACATTAACGAGATAAAAATGCAAATGCCTGTATGTGGAGCAGTGTGCATGAAGCCATTAATAAAACTGATCTTAAAAAATTGCATTATAGACAAACCCTTATTAACAGTGACAGAACTGGATCACCTGGGCTATAGATACTTCATTAGCTTCCAGTTACATCATTTTGAAGATGTAAAGCCCTTTATATTTCAGAGCCCAGTTGTCTCCAACAGGCTATTTCTTTGTAGGCAATAGCAGCCTGCAAGTCTTAGATGTGTGCATTTGCGTAGTGATAGTTTGCCTGGAGTGCTTTTAATGAGATCTTCAGGCAGTGCCTGTGAACAAGATTGTAAGGAAGCAGTAGGCTGAAAATCATCTTGCTTTAAATGTTAAATTGTCTGACACCTTTGCATGGATCAGTCATCCAGGTAGGAAGCTCCCTTCTTGGCTTTAGTGTAATTTGTTTGCAAACCAAGGTTACTCTCAAGAGTGTTCACACAGGGGTTAACATCTCTATTACTTTTCTATTAACTCAGCTTAATCTGTCCTCAAGCATCCCTGTTTGGATATGGTTTTAATAAACCACATCCTTGACCAGCAATCAAGGCTACTACAGAAAAAGAAATTTGGGTTAGCAAATGTAATCATAAGGGATAAACACTTACAGAACTCCCCAAAACACCTCCAGCTTTTAGCACTCGGGTCTTACAGCTCTCAAAAGCAAACCCATCATAAAACTTAAGTATCAGTGAGCCTCAGCTGCATAATGCAGTTCTCTCAATCATACCATCATACTTTGCATTTAAAGTGTCTCTCATGTAGAGCAAAGTGCTTTTAAAAGGTGAGCATTATTTATTCCCCTCTTAAAGAGGTGAGATTAACTGTGACTAATTGGCTTGCTCAGGTACAAAGGTGCAGTTATAAATGTAAACCCTCATGCCTCTCTTTCTAACCTGTGGTCATTGTCATCAACCCCTTGTTCGTCATCGCAGGTCCTCTTGAAACAGAGGTCAGTGACTCGCTTTCATGGCCTATTCACAGATTTTTTTCCTCAAGTACCTAGCTTACCTGCCAAAACTGGGAGCAGCAAAAACTCCTGCAGCTCCATAGGAAAATAAGCATCATGGCTGCTTCCAGTCAACAGGCTATCTTGTGAAGGACCTACGTACATTTCTGCAGGCTTCTGGATTGATGTTGTAGGAAAGGAACACAAGTTAAGAGTGTTGCAGCCAAGAAGACCGTTGTCTGTCAGCCGGATACATATATGAGAACACACAATAAGTGTGTTAAATCAGCTGCCTAGAATTCTTGTTGCCCTACGTTCCTCAGTGAAGTGGTCTTAGGGTGAATAGACTGTTCTCTCAAATGCATCCCTAATTTAGTCCCCATCTTTGCTGACGTTTAACATTTTCCATGGAATAGGTAAAGGTGGGTCGTGTGTATCTTTTAGTGTAGCGTCACAGCTATAGCTGATGCTAGCAGAGCTTTCCAAATAGTTTTCTGATCAATCTCAAATTGCACAACTAGACACAGCACTGTGCGTGTCCAGCATCACTTGTTTGTTCACACAAAACCAAGGATGTATGTTCTCTCTTTTTACAGAGACCTCATGGATAAAAACAGACATTCAAACAGATCCTCACCGGCATCGGCTCCAGTGACACATCAGATAAGCAATCTCATCCGCAGCAACAGCCAAACCTCCAGTGATCCCATCAGGCAGGTTAGCCTCAGTGAAAGGGAAAGGTCCAAAGAACCTGAGCGAGAGCACCCTGACCGGCTCAGAGAGCCGCCCATAGCAGAACACAAGATTAAAGAGAGCCGTTCCCCAGTGAAGGAAACTCCAAGCCATGATAAGAGACCCTCTGAGGACAACACAAAGCCAGTAATCCAGTCTGTATCCCCATACAGCAAACCTGCACTAAGTGAGAGCTTGAAGCTTACCAATCTGATGAGCAAGGACATGGAGAGAAAGACAGAGCTTCCCAGCGACCTCCAGAAGATTAAGAATGACATCAAAGTCAAAGAGGAGAGGAAGGAAGACAGCGATGTGCTGGTGGTAGGGTCTGAACCCTCACAGCACTCCCGATCAGTGGAGCATCCCCCACCACCTACTTTGCATGGATTATCATTGCCTCATTCAATGGCTGCCTCTATGCCCATCTCCATGGGCAGCGTGCACCAGATGAACAACATGAATGTTCTGGACCGCAGCAGAATGATGACCCCGCTCATAGGCATGAATCCTTTGTCAGGAAGAGAGAGGCTGCCACATCCCGGATTTTCTTGGGACCCAATGAGGGACCCCTTGCGAGATGCCTACCGGAGCTTAGACCTGCACCGTCGAATGGACTTCCAGCTCCGGACGGATCCTATCCATAGGTTTCCTACCACCTCCGGATTTTACGACCATGAGCGTTCTTACAGAGACAGGGAACCGCATGACTATAACCATGAAAACCTTCTTGAAGCCCGCCGAGAGCAGGAGCGGTTGCGGCAAGTGGAGGAAAGGGAGCGCTTGCACTTACGGGAAGAACTTGAGCGTGCCAGAATGCACCACTTGCACTCGTCCCCCATCGAAAGTCACCTGGCACACGTGCCATCCTTCATGCCTCATTTAAGCGGGATGCATTACCCCAGACTGAGTCCATCCACCGCCATGCACAATGGGATTTTAAACAGGAACCCACCAACCGCAGCGCTGAGCGCCCCACCGCCTCTTGTACCAGCGAGCAGCACCAGACCTGCCTCCCCACGCAGGACTACTCCACTCACAAACTCAGAGGCCAGGGACTATTCCCCCTCTAGGAACCCCAAAGAAGTAGAGGCACGATAGTCCCCACCAGTGAATTTTCAACTCGCCTGTATATAAGACAAGCAAACAAAGAAACAAACAGAAAAACAAACAGAAAAAACCAACAACAGAAACCAACAAACCTTTTACAAAATGCACTGCTGTAAACTTTTTTTTTTTGTTTTTAAATGTAAAATTTGTAGAAGTTAAGCACATTTCCATAAATAACGGGGTCGGGGATGCAGACTTTCCAACAAGAAGGTTGCTGAGAATGGGAATTTAATATATAGGTCTTGATTTTTGGTTTTGTTTTTTGTTTCTGTGCTAAAAAAAAAAAAAAAAAAAAAAAGAAAAACCACAAAAAAAAGGAGTTACAAAGAGCAAGTTTGTACATTTTTTCCCAAATGTGAGAAACATTTTTAATGGATTTGTATTTTTTTTAATTTTGTGCTCTTTATTCACTTAAAAAAAAAAAAAAGAAGAAATTTTGCTTTTGTTTTTAGTTAAATTTGCATTTTAAAGGCCTCAGATCCTTAAGAAAAAAAATACCCAGGGTTTCTTAAAAGTATTATTTATGGAAATACTGTAGTTTTACAGTCCACTGTGAGGTTCCCTTCTGAGGCCAATTGATCACTTACCTTGGTACTTTGGAACCGAAGTTACAGATATATATTAAAATATTAATAATAATAATAATGTACAAAACTGTTTGTTTTTTGCCTTATTATATTATGCAGAAATTTAAGAGGAATTTTTTTTGACTTCTTGTTTTAAACAAAACAGAAAAGAAAAAAAAACAAACAAAGAAAACAAACTGTAAATACTCTGTTAATATAAATGTACACCAATATTAAATTCTTAACATAGGTAGACTTTATAAAAATGGTTTCTAGAACCACTCTGGTTATTTGTTAACATGGTTACAACTCATACTCTTGTCACAGTCAGAAATTCACACTCAGAAAGCTAAGTACGGCATATATACTTCAACTATGCAAGAACTCGGAGGCAGGTCGTAGTGGATGTTGGGGGGAGGAAGGTTTAAAAAATAATAAAAAATACAAAAAAAAAACCACCACAACCAACCCAAAAAACAACCAACTCGCAACTCTGGAGACAGAACGGGAATGGCAAGTGAGCGGCAAGAAGGATGCTTGTGTTTAACAAAAGAAGTTAAAAGAGAGACTGTATTTTTTTGTACAAACACAAGGGACAGTTCGTCGAGGAAAGAGAGAGACACACGCTCCTGGAAGGGAATTTTGGTTTCCTACTTCTCAAGCTGGCAAAAGCAGATGGAACTGGCACAGAACCATGCGGCAGACCCTTTCCTTGGTTTTTGGTTTTCTTTTTCCTTTTTTTTTTTTCCTCTTTTTTTTTGTGTTGTGGGCAGGATCGCTGGCAAGCAAGGACAAAGGACAATTTTCCGTGGACCCCTTGTGCTAATCGTGCAGTGTTCTTATTGGAATCTGTATACAAGACAAAGTAGAATTTTAGGAGTGCAACAAAAAAAAAAAAAAAAAGTCTAATGGTTGATTTTAAAAAAAAAAAAAGCAATTCTGATATATTCTCTATAGTACATGAAGACCATCAGCAAATGTTTGTTTCAGTGTGGTTCTGCCTTGAACTGCTTTTTGGCATGATTTATTTTTTATTTCCAATTTTACTTTTCATCCATATGTAAATTTTGCCATGTTTTACTTGCTGTACCATCCCCCCTCCCTTATTTTATTTTTCAGTGTCCATGTTTTATATATCCTGGGCTTTTTCTCTCTAGTTAATTCAGCCATCCGCTACTATTTTCTTGGCTCTGTAACTCTTGTTCCCCCTCCCTCCCCATCCTCCCCCCTGCACCCCCTGTAATTTTAAACATTCAGTTTCCTTGTAGATCAATGAAGATAAATACAACATTGATTTTGGATGAAAAAGGTAGTTGAGTGTTTGTGTGTCGTAGCCAGCGCTGTTGACTCGGAGGCTAATGGTTTATTGACGGTGCTTCTGCGGCTGCTGAAGGGCTCGGTGCTGGGAGAGGGGGTTATTTTGTTGGTGGATCTCGCCCAGCACAAGGAGTGTGGTCCATAAAGTGCTTGGGAAGCGTTCGCTGTGAGGTCAGGACTTGGGCAGGAGAGAGGTGCTCCTGGCTCCAGATCAAGCACTGATCTGACGCTTACGCTGGAGGACAGAGGATGGAAAAGGCAGCACAGGCTCCGTGCAGCAGCTTGTTAAAGGGATGGTGCTGCCGGCACCGCCACAGGAAGGGCATCGCCTCAAGCACTGTCTCCACATGCATTTTCATTCGCTTCCCCAGCTTCTCCTGTAGGCTGAGAGCAGACATCTGCAGGGGGATGGAGAAGTGCTCCAAGCCCCCTCGCTCTCAGTAACTGATTTAACAGTGGGCGACTGTGCTTTAACAGCATGTTACAGCTTCTGTTTTTAAGTTTGCGTGTGACTAAATTACCAAGCATAAAAAAATAAAATGAAATAAAATAGCAGGGTCCTTAATCTGATGAAAGGAGGCTTAAAACAAAATAGGCATTAAAAATCAGCACCTGCTCTCCCAGCTGAAATCGGAGGAACGTATAACACATGGTGGAAGTGAGAAGTGTGTTGGGCTCGGCATAAAGATACCCGTAATGCTGGCTCAGGGGGATTGTAATTCTCTCCTGGTGCCATTGTCCATCATGGCATCTTGCTTGACACCACTGCTAAGGCAGACCCGCGTAAATGAGCCTCCCAAACCTCTGCTGGAAAGAGGCCAGAGCTGCATCTCCCTGATGCAGATGACTGCGAGCAAGGGGGGGGGTTACTGCACACCTCAGAACAACACAAGACTCTGCCCTTCGGAAGCATTTGGTCTGTGTACGGTTTAAAAAGTGAGCATTAAATTGATGACATGTTTCCTGAAGGATTGCTCATTGCAGCCACGCTGGTGCCAGAAGAATTCATCATGGCTGATGTTGTGGCAGCCTGGATATTAAAAGAGAATCAGTGGTTTGTTGCTCTCTGTATTGGGAGGCATTGCTCTGAGCTTCCGGAGGATGACCCATCAATAATGCTGCGCTACAGTGGGATTCCTGCGGAATTACGCAGTGCCAAGTGCCCGCCTGCTCATGAAATGGTTCATCATGATTAATTGGTTTATTACCTAAACAGAGAAACTAATTAATTCAGCCTTATTCCTTTAAGCCACCCCAGCTGAGCTGCCTTCTGCTAGAAGGAGCTGGTGCACGAGGACTCCTTGGGTTTTGTGCCTTTCTACCACTGTTGAGCTTTCATTTTGTGCCATTTTCACCATTTTTATTCTTTCAGCCACCTCCCGTGAGACTTCTCTCAGTCACTGACAAAGGGTGGGATTTAGCAAACAAATGGCAGTGGGTGGAAGGGAGAGGATGGGATTTGTAAGGCTCATTGCTTGCCTCAGGCAACTTATCTTTAAAGAGATGCTCAGGAAAGCATGAGGAAGGAGACCAGCTCTTGTGTCACCTTCTGTCTGAAATGGGATGCCACGCGCCACCGCAGCTCAGTGGGATGGGATTTGGTGGTGCACCCGCCTCAGTTAGTGGGATCAGTCTTGGACTGCTCAATAAAACAGACAACCAGGAGATCATGGAGTGAGGGGAAAAGCCAATATGTGAAGCTGTAATGAATCCTCAGGTTGTCAAATATGTTAACTGTTTTGTGAGAAAAAGATCTAGTACTTCCCTAAATAGCAAGCTTTGATGCCTAAAATAAACATACGGGAATTGTCCGTTCCAGCCTTTATAGATACCATATTTGTGACCCCAACTTAGACAAACAAAGGGTTGATGCAGGGGAACCCAAGGATGCTGCAGCAGCCTGAGCTGCCACCGTCAGATCTGCAATCCCAGTATCGCCTGGGTGCAGAGGAGGGAGAGCACAAGAAACCAGTTGGACAGAAATGTAATATCCTGGGAGCTTAGGCAAGAGCCGGGCACATCAGCTTAGCTCTGAGCAGGCTGCAAGCCCCAGAACAAGATGTGCAGCACTGGTGCACGGCTCAGGCTCCAGCCAAGAAGCCCTCGGTGCCGGGGAAAAGAGGGTTTGTGTTTTCTTTGGCTCGTCCTGAGCAAAAAAAGGAAACGTTTCCTTTACCTCCTTCAGGAATTTCCTCTTTGCCAGAGCCTTAGGAAAACAGTCGTGTTGTGGTTTGCGCAGGGCAATTTTGGTAATGGTCTTGTGAGACCAAAACAGCGTTGCCCGTCACTGAAACCTGGGCTTCGGTATGCTGGGGGCTGCCAGGGCTTTCCCTGCACACCCCCTTACAGAGCTTTCCCCAGTGTTTCTTGGTGTCCCTTTGCACAGGCACTTCCCTTTGGGAAGAGGCTAACCAAGGAAATAGAGTGAAAGGGGGCTTCGGCAAACCAAGCTAGCACTTCCACTCAGATCCTGGGGAGCTGGTAGCCCAGGGCTTAGCTGGGAAGCACGGTGCTTTGGGAAGAGTGTGGCTGTATCATGTTGTATAATGTGAAACTGAATAGCAGGGAGCAGGGGAGGGCTGCACCGGGCCTAGATTAGAGGCTCCCATTTCTGAACGTAATGGGGGAAAAGGAAAAATCAAATGGTGTTTTGGAGTTTAACTTGGAAAATATTTCTCCAAGGCCTTTGAGGGATGTGTGTGAAGGAAAAGGGTCGTCTCCCCTCACCCCAGCCCCTGCTGCTGCAGCACAGCTGGAGCCCTCCCTACGGCAGCGGCTAGGACCTCCTTGCAGGTGTCAGCACGGAGATTTCTTTGTCTTCTGACAAAAACCCTTCTGCTCCATTAAGCTCCCCTAATTGCTGCATTTATCATCAGCCATTTTCTGCTTGTTCTCTTCCTCATTCAGCCAGGACGTTTCAGAATAGAGACATACCCATCCGCGCCTCCCGCCGATGGAGCTGTGCGCAGGCACCGGCTGCCCAACGGGCCGGGCAGCAGAAGGTCCCCCATTACCGGCTCCACGGCAGCTTGTGTGTCACACGGATCACAGCAGCTGGGCTGGCTGTTGGGCCCTTTGCACTGAGCCTTGGTAAGTAGCTGAGAGGAGAGGAGAAGAGAGGACTAATTTTTTTACTCCAAAACCAACTTCATCCTCATCCAACTCCTGATACGAATTCATGCAGTTGCCCAGAGCAGGGTGAAGCCTTTCATCTTCCCCCCAAAAAGCAGTTTGTGGAGCAGAAGATGTATCAGACACCCAAAGGAGACCAGAGCCCAGCTCACACCCACATCGGTGTCAGTCACACACTGTGTGTCCTTGCCAGTGGCAGGAGGAACCATGGAAGACAAGAGCTCAGCCGGGGCAGGCAGGATTCTGCTGCTGTTCTGCAGAAGAGCTGTCGC